AGATGTTATAAACTACATTATTTATATATAAATTGTAGTTAAAATTTATCTAATTTTTAAAGAAGAATAGCCACTCATAATGCTAACGCTGGCCCCGCTCGCCTGGTCACCATTTAATATGGAAAAGATAGACAATAGTTAGAGGTGTTTGAAAATGTTATCCATATGTCCCTAAGACATCGGGTGCCGAAGTAGTGACCACTTTTATCGGAAAAATTTACTCTAATTAAAAACTTATTTGAGTGATATATGTGTCATATTATATATCAACGGAAAGGATTTGATGAGACGAATAGGGATCTGAAGGAATTTTGTAATTCGGACATCAGATAAAATAGTTATTTTAAAAATTAAAAATGCATTACATTTTTTGTACGTTATTTATGCTTTAAACGTTATTTGTTGATGTGATTTGTTTTTAGTTATATCTAAGAACCTCTTATTTCCAAATAATTCATATTATGTTAGATGGTGACCAGGCCAGCAGGGCCAGCTTAGCATTAGGAGTGACTATCCTTCTTTATATAATTTTATAAATGATACAAGCAATTACATAATTTAGTTTTTAATTATTTTTAAAAATAAAACTCTTAAAATAATATTAGGTTACTTTACAGAATTATTTTATAAATAATAGAGACAAATTTACTAATTATAAGCATTTTTGTAGCTATCATGGTTGAGAGAATGACTAAACCGTACCCTCGAAAACCGTACCCTCTATAACTGTACTCCAGGTGGTAGATAGGCAATCCAAATGCCCATCACATTAGGCAACGCATAGGGGGTACGGTTTCTTTTTCCGTCAAATTTGACATTTTTTCGCAAAATTTTTACTTTTTAATTACTTTTCAAATTTTCTTTAAAATATTATTTTTTAACTTAAAAAATAGATTTAAATGTCTTAAGACTTGTGTAATTTTAAAAAACAATAAAAATAATTTTCCGTGAAAATTTGAAAAATAACGGAAAAAGTCTATGTGTTGTCAATGTGATCGGCATTTGGGTCGCCCATATACCGCATGGAGTACAGTTATAGGGGGTACGATTTTCGAGGATACGGTTTTCGAGGGTACGGTTTAGTCATTCTCCATGGTTGATAAGTATTTTAATTTTTAATGGCCACTAGTTTATTATTGAGAAAATAAATACTGATATTTATATGAATTGTTAATAACCAAAAGGCATTTAGCTGATTTGTAAATTCATCAATGTATATCTCTTAAAGTTTAAGACTTAAACGAAATGAGCTAGTTCAAATCTGTAAAGTGTATAATGATGTTCAATATCTCTAGTATTTTTGTATAAAAATTTATTAAAATCACGTGACTAGAACATTCAAATTTTTGGGTCATTTCGAAATGTCATGGTTTTATCTTAGTTGAAAGGGGGTTCAACGGAGGGCGGGTATGCTATTCAGAAGCCGAGGTGTCAACGTGTAATAATAAATTAGAACCACCATGATCGGATTGCTGGAATTAACACAGCAGCTTAACAAACATTTGCAAATGTTACATGTTAATCTATGATATTTAAAAATAAAATTAGATTTAAATATAATTAATTATATATCTACATACTATATTAAATGCTGATAATGTTAGTGAAACAAATTTTTAAAAAATTTCATTTGACTAAGTCAAAATATTGTAAATTGAAATATTACGTTTTTAAGATTTTTCTGGCCAAAATTTGATACATTTGATGTATTTAAGTTTACAATATTTTAGATTTAGAATGAAATTTTTCAAAAATTCTTTTTACTAACATTATCAGCATTTAATGTAGTATTAACTAATATAGTTAGTTATTATTATTAATTATTAACAAATTATTAACAAAATAAACTGCATTTTTTAAAATTATGGTAGTAATGTTTAATAAATAGGCAAAAATGGAAGGTAGTTTTACACTATTTATGCGGTGTTAAGTCAACCCAAATGCCGACTAAATTAGGCAACGCATAGACTTGTCCATCACTTTTGTCGTCAATTTTGACATTTTTACGGAAATTTTATTTTTGGTCTTTTTAAGAATAAAATAAATATTATTTTTAAAAAACTTTTGAAAAATTAAATTATCAGTAAAAATGTAGTAATTGGCGGAAAAAGTGATGGACAAGTGTATGCCTTGCCCAATATAATTGGCATTTGGGTTGACTTAAGACCGCATAAATAGTATAAAAGTTACTTACATTTTTGTCCTTGCCCAACAATCTAAACCACATACAATTACCCCAATAATGCTTAATACAATAAAGTGATGTTTAATATGGGAGGCGGACTAACATGTAGCTCATGTTAATCCTATGCCAAATGTTTGGCATAAATAATGCAAAATTCTGCATAATGCAAAGTGTTATGAATTTTATAACATTTTATAAATAAAATTTAAATTATCATGATTGCATTTTTTAACAACCAATAATTGAATATCAATAATTTAGAAACTATTAAGAAAGGTGTAATAGTCTTAACATATTTTGCTTAATTTACAGTTTTATTAATAATAACATAGATTGGTTAATAAGTTAGTAAATTATTTTTTGAATCAAAAACTGTAAAAACAATTATAAAGAGACGTTTACTAAAACATTTGTTTGAAGTTTAATTGTGTGGTTTGTAAAATCAAAAAAATTATTTATATTTTTTGACAAAATCAATTATAATACTAACCTGATTGTGGTTTATTAGCTAGATTATTGTAATCCTTACCAAACCAAATGCGCTTGTATTAAATGTGGCATTTTCACACATCACCTCGGTCATTGGTTTGAACATTTAAATAGCAACCCCATACAGGCGTAATGATTGATGATTAATAAGAGCATAATTAATTGGAAACCTTGTAATTAATAATAAAAGCTTAATTATGTTAATTGCTATTAAAATTCATTGTATACTTACATGTTATAAAAATTACAATTTAATGCAGATTTTTGTCTGCCTTTGCCACACAATAGTATAGTTTTTATTTGTAAATATTAAAAATTTAAATTTCAACAAATTTATCCAAAATTTAAGGATAAATTTTTACTTTACTGCTAGTAATTAATACAATTAATATTTCATACTCTTAGTTTTATTTAATATATAAATTACTAGTTTAATTAATTATAAGCATACACTATTAATGAATATAAACTATTAATTATTGCATAAATTAAACAATTAATTACAACGTTCAAATTAAAAATTTTACATAACACATACAACAGTACATTTACTAAACAAATAAAATTAAACTTTTGTATTTATTAGAAATAAATTATTTATAAAATAACTTTTATCTAATAAATCAGAATTTTGCATCGTGCTAAAATCTAAATAATTAGCATAGCCGATTCAGTAGTAGTGCGTTTAACAAATGGCCACCCCCATGACTTTTTCGTCGTGTTATTAACAGTGCCATTAAATGAATTTGACGAATTACGGTGACCATAGGCTTTAACTTTATCAAATAAACTTCGGGAAAAGTTTTTAGCCTGCTCAATCGTCTCAATAGTCTCGGTGACAAATCGCTGGGCCACCGAGCGATCATCATCATACGCAAAATTAAATGTACGCTGGTACAAATTGCGCTTGTCGCTCAAGTTGGCTGCAAACACATTTTCCAACGGGTTATAATCGTGGTCAGTTAATATGCCGGTGCAGCGTAGAGTGCCCATCGGGCCGCACACAATGGCCCCGATGCAAGCAAACACGTCCAACACGGTGGCGCATTTGAACATGTTCCATGCGCAGTTTTTGCACCATTTCCAGCCCTTGCACCATAGAAATTTGACCAAGCTCTGCCCGAAACGTTTTTTCAAAGCCTCCATTTCCGGGTCATTGAATAGCTCTTGAAAGTTTTTGTAATCTAGAATTTGTACAATATCAATTATTTATTTTAATTGTATTTATTGTATTAAAGTGTATTGTAGTATTTTGTGTGTGTTTGTTTTTGTTTGGTTATAGCTTGGTTGTAATTAATATAAATAATTGTTGTGTCATATTTACCATAAATTTTTACATCACTATTGTCGATGTAATCCATGTCTGTACAAATGCGCTCGTATTGAACGCTGCCATTGTACTCCACCTTGGTAATATTATCGCATATTTCTACGGCATGACAGAGTGACCACCAGTTTATTGTTAAGATAATGAATAAGGCTATTAATATATCTAAATTTATTATTGTAAAAATTATTTATTAATTTTAAAACAATATAGTTTAATAAAATTAATTATTTTATTTACTTTACATTTCATGACTGATGATAATTACTATTTATACTTTTTATTTACACCATATTTGTGTAGAAATATTGCGAAATTGTTTTACATATTTTTATTTATTAATATAATGCCAAATAACAGCAAAATACAAACAAAATTTATATAATGTTATATTTCTTGAAAGTTGTAAACTATAATAATATTTTTATAATATAATTAATAAAATCACACAATAAACAGTAATTGGATTAACAAAGTCTAGAAAATATTGGTAGCTTAACAAGTTGTAATTATTTTTATTTATAATTTTTTAAGCTAAAAATGTTTAAAAACGCATAAAGACATTTTGAACAGTCAAAATTTAATAAAACTTTTATTTACAATTAACTTTTTAGATACACAAAAACTAACATTATGATAAATTAATTAATGATTAATGATTATTTACTTTACATTTATTAAAATAATTTTGGTTAATTATGGTACATATATTATACGCTATAAATCAATTATTGCTTAAATGATGATGGTTGAATATACGGCGGCGATGCTTGGCCAGTAACAGGAACTAGTTTAGTTGTGTTTCAATTAGAAATGTGAGTGGTAAAATATTAAAATTGCTATCATTAATATCCTCTCTCGGGTGTCATCAAAATTACGTCATCGGGAAGTATGTTTCTAGCTAGGGCTTTCACAGTTCGGCTAACATTTCTAATCGTGGGTTTAGCTTGGTCAATTTTCTCGCCCAGGTACCGCTGGCTAACTGTGCGCTTATCATCATGGGCAAAATTAAACACCCGTTGATACACATTGCGTTTGTCTATATAGTTAGCGTTATAAACATTATCCACCCCTTTATAATCGTGGTCCTCGAGCAACCCGGTGCAGCTTAACGTACTTGTCTCGCCACATTTAATGTCCTGGATACAAATACGAGCGCTTACCATGAGCGCGCATTTGACCGTGTATGATAGGCATCTGCTACACCATTTCCAGCCCATGCACCACATAAATTTCACTAAGCTGCGTCGGTAACGTTTTCTCATCTCCTTCATTTTCGGATCCCTCAGTACTTCTATGAGTTTTTCAGTGTCTAATCATTAATAATAATTAATTAATTTTGGAAATATTAATTTTTGGATATAGCTAGATAATAATGTGATATATATGATAGTATGATTGGTAAATAGTATCCTTATGTGCATAGAACATATTATTTATATTAAATACGCAAATATACTGTTCTCAAATATTTAGATTAATATCACTGTAGACCATTATCATTAATATTGTTTAGTAGTAAAAATTATATAGCCCATTTTAAATTACCAGTTTTATTATTTAATACGGGTAAAGAGGTTTCGGTAGTTGCATAAGGGTCATAGACCATTTCCGCTTCCAATATTACGTCATCAACGTGCTCCCCCTTTCCACTAGCTTTATCATCGTGGTCAAAGTTAGCGTTATTAAGCATGTTTGCCGACAAATGATAATGATGATCCTCGAGCACATAGGTGCAATGTCGAGCGCTCGTCCCGTCGCATATAATGTCCTCGATGCAAGCCCGCGGTTTTACCACAATCGCACATTTTAACGCACTGCCCATGCATTCTGTGCACCATTCCCAGCCCATGCACCACATGAATTTCACCAAGCTATTTTTGAAACGCTCTCTCATGGCCTCCATTCTCGGCTCATTAATTAGATCGCTAAACGTGTTGTAGTCTAATAATAACCAAATAAAATTAATATACGTTGCGTTTTATTAATTTAGAGTTTTAATAGTCTATAATATGGGGTAATCTATAAATTATGTGTAAAGGTATAATGACAATTTAAAAAGAATTTAATTTTACATTTATTGCAATAGCATTTGGTATAATTTATTCAATAGAATTTAACCCATAAATTAATTGTTGTAACTCTTTTTCACACAAACACGGCCGTCGAACACATACCTTTTTTACCATGATTAGTGGACATTAAACTTGAATGTAACACTATTTAAAGGCTGACCTAACAATATACTATGTTCATAACACTACACTATGAAACTTTACAGAATATGCCATAATGTAAGGCAACACATAAAATATACACACGAT